GCTCTGTGTAGTTAATGCTGCTCAATGTGAAAGCACGCACGTGATGGAGATTTACCGCTGATTACAGAACCGGTTTTCTGACAAGATGCGCGTTAAATATCGCATGCGATTTATCGTGCAGCCCTAGTCAGAATGCATCAAAAATATCTTAATTTGTGTTCCGAAGATGAACGGAGGTCTTAATGACAGACGAGCAATTAACGAGTAATTAATGACAGAATTTTCATTTTTGGGTGAACTATCGCTTTAAGACAGTGAATTCCACTCACTTAACTGTAGGGGGCTTCAAAGTCGCAAAAAAATTCACAAAACACGCAGATGCTTTAATGTCCATGCTATTGCCAAATTTATTACAATTTAATTTTAATAAAGGAGTTATTTATTACATTTTTTAAAATGTGTTAAATTACCAAATTTATTAAAGGAGTGTCTGCTGTTCTCAGAGTAATGGCCTTCTTATCATGACTATAGGTTGTGTATTAGCAGGGAGAGAATTATAGTAAGATGCTTTTTTTTTTTTTTAAATCCAACAAATTGTTAAATAAAAATAGCCAAATGCCTAAAAAGTATGGAAACTAGTGAGCTAAAACTTTGAAACATAGTCATTGGCTGAACTGAAAGCCACACATCACAGGGCGGTAAAAAAAAAAGTTTACCCTTCATTCATGGGTCAATTCAGGTTGTTGAAGACACCTGTGATATGTTCAGAATGACATGAGAGAATCTGAAATGAACATTTCATAAGCTGTCCGTAGGCATATTACACCCACTTCTAGCTCTCAAACACCCACGCAATCTTCTGTTCCTGCAGATGTGGGGCCTCTGATCACAAAATGAGGCAACTTAACTGGTTCTGTGTGTTGTATGAAGGCGAGCCCGGACTGGAACCACATTTATTATTACAGTGGATGTTCCAAAGTCTAGAATAATAACGGAACAAGAATGTCTCAAGCTTTAGGTATGTACAGTATGTTTGTAAATCTACTTCTAGGAACAGCCTAATTACCTCCAATACAAAACAGTTGCTACAATAAAGGAATGTGCTTCTAAGAAAAGTACTAAACGCCCCCTTTAAACAAGTCTGATCAAGCGTGTGGCTGTATGCATGTGTTTAATGGTCTGGCTGGATTCAAGGATGTATCCAAACACTCAACAATTGCTCTAACACTAATCTGACAATTGTGCTCAATGTCCCTGGTGGTTGTATAAACCCAGCTGGAATCTCACACTTCTGTTACACTAATTGAAAAGAGGACTTACTCATGGTAGACTTATTTAAGAATCGCTGGGTAAATACCTATTTTCTTTATGAATTCAACTCAGTAGAAGATTTATTCAACTGTTCATGAACTCTATTGTTTATGATCTTATATTATATAAAATATTCATTAAAGGGGTCATATGATGCGATTTCAAGTTTTCCTTTCTCTTTGGAGTGTTACAAGCTGATTGTGCATAGATAAGATCCCTGAAGTTGCAAAGACTAAAGTCTCAAAACCAAAGAGATATTCTTTATCAAAGTTAAGACTCTGCCACGCCCCCCTAAAACGGCTCGTTCTAACACGCCCCCACATATCTACCCCACTATGTGGAAATATTAGCATAATGCCGCAAATGTGCACGCAAAGAAAGAAGGCATGGTTTCAGTAACAGCAGTTAGTGTTGAAGCAGCCATGTCAAGGAGACGCTGTGTGTTTCTAGGCGAAAGCAGAGAGACAGGGTCGCATCACAGTGGAGTCAGCTGTCTTAACCGTGGCTTGTGTACTGCAAACACATACCAGCTTCATCACTGTGTCTGTCACGCGACTCTGTTCCCCTTTCGGGCTTGAACTGATGGTAAAACTAACGACATTATTAACTGTCTTGATATTTACTTTGAAAGCTGACGCTCGCGATTATGGTAAGGGGCGTTACATTTCCGACGCGTGCTTGCAGACTGCGCTTGTCGGAAGGCGGGACTTTGTAGAAAACGAAGCGTTTGAGAGAGGCGGGGCATAGAGAACCTACAATAACGTACAGTATTTGAAAAATAATGTGCTTTTTGAACATTAAAGCATGTCAACATATTCTGTTACACCAAATACACAAAATAAAGATCTTTAAAAAAGCATCATATGACCCCTTTAATATTTTCTGCCCCTAATCTATCTATCTATATATCTATCTGTCTGTCTGTCTGTCTATCTGTCTATCTTGTCTATCTATCTATCTTGTCTGTCTGTCCAGGTATGACACATGCAGGCAAATAAGCACATGGACTTGTGAAGATCAGTAATGCAGTAACTTTTCAACCCAATTTGATTTGGCATACTCTCTATTTCTCCATTTGACTGATTGTTATTTATTACTCTGATAACAAAAGTGTCTTTGAAAGAAAAATAAAATGTACAATATGATATGACACATCAAGACTTATACTGCATATACTTGCTGAAACAGTATTATGTAATAACGTTAGCAAGCTGGAACAGAGCAGACACACACGAACATACAGACATTCACAGTATTTTTGTAATTCCTTTCACAGACATCCACAAAACCACAAAGAAACAAACTGCAAACCTGCAGAACCCCGAACAGAACAAACACAATGCCAAGCCCACACAACAAGATAAAATAATGCTGCAAAATTCATAATGTCATCAATTTTGCAATGTCGATCCCTTATAAAGAACGTTTCTCAATCACGTGTGACAGTACTGCTTTCCATAACTATGTGTAACAGAAGTATAAATTCTCACATTCAGTCACACACCCTGGCTGAGCATTCAAACCTGTGGTGTCTTGTACGTCTTTTTTACTTCCATTAAATTCCATCTCTTATTAGCAATGTGTTTTGTCAGGCTCGATATGCGGGATCATGGGCAAATAGCACACTAACACAATAAAACCATTTGAACCAAACAGGCATTGCCAAATAAATTCAAAATGTTTAATGCAAAAAGTAAAGAACAATAAAAATCTAGTTAAAATAACCAAGGCATGTTTTCACATCTTTTTACTCACTGAACAAAAAGTAACCTGATTATTTTTTTATAAAACAATAAACAGAAATAATGACCTCCATATATTTTACTGAAACATTGTAATGTATGAATGCCACATGGAGACTTTGGAGAATATGGAGAATTTTTGTATGATGCTGCAAATTAATCTTGTTTTGAACTGATTTAGTTAAATGGATTGTTTGCAAAATTATTGTGAACATTTAGTGTCACACAGCTTGTTCTTCACACATTTCACTACTTCCCACATCTTATATTTCTACTTCCTTTTCAAATTATGATGTGCCAAAACAACATTGTAGAACTTAAAATCACACTTAATTTGTGTGTTGGTTTGTGTAATGCAATTTGTGTGAATTTGTTTTGCTATTTTAGGCTTAGGCTTACTGGTTATTGGGTTTAACTTTTTTTTTTTTTTTTCAGTGTGTCATTTATGTCTGTATGATTTTGCATTTTATTTTTATCTATTTGTTTTTGTTGTGCATTTGTTGATGTCTTCCCGTTACTATGCAGTAATTTCCATGAATTACCACGAAAACAATCTCTGTGATTTTGAGTATGTTGCAAAATACTATCTTTGACAGAATGAAAGAGAGCATGTGTGCTAGCCTGTGTGTAATCACAGAAAATATGACTCACCAGTGTACACATTCCCCTGTCTGTGTGTACGTGCATGTTGGTGCATGTGTGTGTGTGTGTGTGTGCATTATCCATTCACACAGCCTTGATAAGGGGGAAAGCTTACTAAACAGACTGACATGCCTCGGTGTTATGAGGTAAAAAATGTATGGTTTGAAGATAACAAAGTATGTGTTCATGCTTCCAGGTATTTACACTGAGTAATCCTTACCACAGTGTTTCTTATCCAAGGCTTTTATGGGTGTGGAAAGCACAATAACGCACTCAGAAATCACAAATTGATTCAGATCTGATTCACCTCAAATGTCCTCCATGCATTTATTCAGTTGTTACTGATTATTGTTTAGTTTCCCACTGTTGCTCTGATGATGAACAGTAACCGAACATTACACTGAGGTAGGTTGATTTATCCAGTTTGCAAGACTCATCAGGAATCATTGGAATTAGTGTCTCAATGATCCAATTAATTTGAGGGTGATTATCCGTGAATAATCTCTTCCTCTCACAAAGGTAATATTTAAAGAAGATAATTTCCAGAATTAAAATTATGTCATCATTTACTCACCCTCCACTTGTATGAGTTTCTTTCTTCTGTTGAACACAAAAGAAGATGTTTTGGAAAAATGTTAGTATCCGAACAGTTGATGGGCACCATTGACTTCCATAGTATTTTTTTTTTCCTAGTATGGAAGTCAATGGTGCCCATCAACTGTTCAACAGAATAAAGAAACTCATACGGGTTTGGAACTACTCTTTAAGGTTTAAAATTAATTTATGTTTGTTATTTTATTATGGTTATGGTTATTATTTTATTACATTGTTTTATGTTGCATGCTAGCAAAGCCATACTTAAGTTGTTATTTTTATATTATTTTATGTGTGTGTGTGTATACATACATACATAATACATAGCCTACATATATCTATGGTCTAAAAAATATGTGCAAGTACCACAACTACTTCCTCATTTGCAATGAAGGGGGTATGTTTATATACCTCCCCAGAAATAGCGCCAAGTACAATCCACCAATCACCACACAGGAAAACACACCGATAACCAATCCCCAACCAGAACGGCAGACGGACGCACCCATTGGGTGGAGTTGAGCCGGTGGGCTTGGCACTAGCCGGTCGCTTCTGATTTGTCCGCTGGTGACGACGCTTAATATGCTTCGCTTGTTTTGAAATTGGAAGTGTGCAGCGCTTCTGTGCGTCCGCTAAAGACAAACAAACTGTTGCCTTACGTCCGCGCATGAAGACACGGCGGGAAAGCGCCTTTTCCAGCTGGGTTTGACAAATTTTCGCCTCCCTCTCATGGAGGTTAAAGAAGATGCAGAAGGGGCGAGAGGGGATGAGGTCAAAGGTGAGGGGTCACCTGAAGGACGAAGGAGAGCTCATCGCTGTTACTTCAACGGCTGCAGGAAGGTGTACACCAAGAGCTCTCACCTGAAAGCACATCAACGCACACACACCGGTAAGCATTTTCTGTGTGAGCGTCTATAGTTCTACCTGTATTTTGTTTTACTGTTGCCACAACAGTTTTCTCAGCTTTGGGAAACAAAACTTCTCCCATTTGGATCATGCTGAAAGTCACTCCGGCAAATCTGCCCTACAAAGCATATTTTTAAAACCACTCTTAAAGCCTTCACAGAATCATAAAAGCATGAACTGATAGTGCGTAAATGTTTCCTCTTCTTCAGTGCATTAGTGTTATCAATATTGTTTATAAACTAACATTCATATTTTATTCATATTTTAGCTTTTTTAACCCCATAAACCTATTGTATCATATTTTTAATACCTAATGTAATATAAAATAACTCATATATCATATGTTTGCAAATTTCAAAGACCTCTAAATGATCAACACGATCAAAACGTTGCTGAAAACCTGTTGTCCACAACCTACTACATGCCTTCTGTCGTCTAAAAAACAGCTGCTCCATTTTTTTTGTTTTTGCATAAAAAAAGAGTTTTTTTTGTCATCCTCAAGAATGAGCTCCATATTCTCATGTATTATGCTATATATATATAATATATATATATATACAGTAGGACTGTGCGATATTGAAGAAAAATGTGATAACTCATTAAATAATGCGATATTCGATATGCGATACGATAATGCTTAAAGTGCCACATGCTCAGGTGAAACAGTTTTACTCCGCTGTTGCTGAGTCAGTTCTGTGAACTTCTATAACTATCTTGTGTCATATATATATGGTTATTTGTATGTATGTAAAACCACAACAAATTCCTTGTGTTTGCGCACACTTAAGTGGTGAATAAAGCTCATTCTGATTCTGATTCTAATAAGAAAGCACTTTCACTTTTTGTGAGAAGAAAGCACCCCTACAACAACTTCTGAAAGTGAACGGTAGTGTTTTACTCAAGCATTACATAAAAATGTCATTTTAACATTAGTGTAATTATTTTAACATGAGTTTAGGAACTGAATAATAAAAAGGAAAAATAAAACATTGCGTAGTATTTACTCTTTGAGTTCAATATGCACTGATTCTTATTTAAGCTACAAAAGTTATTTAGGTAAGAGCAGTGAATGATTTTCTCTTTGTCTTTTGTTCATGGCCCCAAATATTGCAAGCTGTAGCGATATGCATATTGCGATATGTACATTTGCGATATTTCGATATATTGCACAGCCCTAATATACAGTATATATTTAATTACTTTACCTAAATAAGAGGGATCGTACAAAATGCATGTTATTTTTATGAATAAGATGTTTCACATAAAAGATGTTTACATATATATCCACAACAAGAGAAAATAATAGTTGAATTTATAAAAATGACACTTAATTCTTAATACCGGTACTGTGTTGTTACCTGGATGATCCACAGCTGTTTTTTTTGTTTTGTAATAGTTGTTCATGAGTCCCTTGTTTGTCCTGAACAGTTAAACTGCCCGCTGTTCTTCAGAAAAATCCTTCAGGTCCCACGAATCCTTTGGTTTTTCTTTCTGGAGCATCAGTGACCGGTTGAACCTTTCTTTAAATGTATTTGTCTTACTATTGTTTCATATGTTAGGCTTTACATGGTTAAAGCCTTCACAAAATGTTAACAGACTAAGTATTGGCAGAACTAAAACAATTGCCATGAAATGCATTAAACTGATTAAATGTGTATTTTGAATGTTGTGTAAGTTGCTTAAAAGTGTTTGCCAAATGTAAATGTTTCTGTGCGTGCACAGTATGCAGATTATCCCATGTAGAGGTACTGTTGCATCACATTGAATATTTAGCATGCAGAGGTGACCTCCTCCTCTGGAGGCGAATGTTTGAAGAGTGTGTGTAAAAGCGGTTTGGTGACTATACATTCCTGAAATGCTCATTCTTCATGAGACTGTCATACACTCTAGGAACATAGATTACCAAACTTGTGTGCATTAACCCTGTTCCCACACTGTTCATCTTGCATGCAATCTAAAGAATGTTTGCAAACTGACTTTACTAAGAATTAATAAAGATCTTAAAGGAACCCAGATCACATCGGAGAGCACCATGAAGACGTGGGCTTGCGGGTAAACGTGCTCTAACAAGTTGCACGTGGCGATTATGTACCGGGTGACCCAAGGTTGATCTCTTTTTCTCACAATGCTTTCATGTCAACTTTTAGATGTCTTCTAAATTCGAAGAGTCAAAAACCTACAAAATTAAACCCAACAAAAATCTGACGCCATAAATTTGTGCGAGGATCCCAGAGGCATGCAATTTCTATGTCCACACCAAATATAAAAACTGCTGTACAATGAGGCAAATCAGACACAAATTAAACTCTGAAACTTGATGGATTTGTCATTTAAATATCCAATGTTTCCCAACTTCCACAACCAATCTCTCCTCATCCATATTTTGATGATCAATATACATGAGGATCAGTGCTTGAATCCAATGAGATTTCATTGTTTGCAAAGCTACCCAGAACAACATCACAGAATTATATAGAAAATATAATTCAATCCAAATTCGATTCTGATTCTGGCTGTCATGATTCCAAAAATTATTCTTAAGTCACTTTTTTTATTATTATTAACTTATTTAAACATTTTTATTTATACTATTTTAATTAAATAAAAGTACTTTAAAAAATAAATAAAAATAGTTAATAAATTTAAACTATTTCATGTTAAGTAATTTTCAAATATACTAAATATAGGTTTAAAACAAGCAAATAGTAATGCAGAAGAACAAAGAAAGAAAAAGAGTTATGTTATGCGGAAAATAAGACCTTCTCAATGTAAGATGTAAGGAGTGAGTACAGTTGTGTGTTTGTTGGCTCCCTGCAGGTGAGAAGCCGTACAGGTGTTCGTGGGACGGCTGTGAGTGGCGTTTCGCTCGAAGTGATGAACTGACGAGGCACTTCAGAAAACACACTGGAGCCAAACCCTTCAAATGCAGCCACTGTGACAGGTGAGCGTGTGTGTGATCAGACACAGTGTTTCAAACAGATTTTGAGCTATACATAATCATTTTTGTTTTATTGTTTCAGGTGTTTTTCTCGTTCTGATCATCTGGCGCTGCACATGAAGCGACACATCTGAATGCAAATCCCAAAGACCTGCACAGAATCCCAAAGACCTGCACAGCTGGTTTTCTATGTATCCACTGAGTCTCAGTATTGCAGATTTTGCACCCTTTTGGTAAATGTATGCTTTCTGCTGAACATGGGTAATGTGCATGCTTGTTCAATTCAAGTTATAGCATAGCTATAAAGGCATTGAAAATGCAAAAAGTCTGGTGCTGAATGCAAGTTAACATATTTGCTGGCTTTGCCAATTGCTGTGAATATATACTGTATGTCATAATCATTTAAAATCATATTTTGCAACAAAGCTTACTAACACTTTGCATTAACACACTGAAAACACTCTGCGCAGCTATTGTGTTTATATCTAGAGCAGCTATGTGTCCATATAGTTTTATAAGAAGGCATATTTTTGACAAATAAAAGTGTTAATTGCTGTTAATTACACTCAAATAAAAAAAAAAACTGTCACTGGGACAGTACCCCTTCATAAGGTACTAATATGTACCTTTAAGGTACTAATATGTAGCATTTAGGGGTATATAAGGTACAAATGACCAGCTTATTCCAGCAGTTACAGGTACATTAGTCGTGCTGATATCACTTGTACTTGTAAAAAAAAAAAAAAAAAACTTTTCAACCACTAAATTTAGCATTAGTGCCTTAAAACTGTTCTCTTAAACTTAATGAGTAATTTATCAAGAATTATTTTGGCCAATTAAAGTTCAGTTGTCATAACCTGGAAACATTTGATCACATCTGAATGCAAATCCCAAAGACCTGCACAGAATCCCAAAGACCTGCACAGCTGGTTTTCTATGTATCCACTGAGTCTCAGTATTGCAGATTTTGCACCCTTTTGGTAAATGTATGCTTTCTGCTGAACATGGGTAATGTGCATGCTTGTTCAATTCAAGTTATAGCATAGCTATAAAGGCATTGAAAATGCAAAAAGTCTGGTGCTGAATGCAAGTTAACATATTTGCTGGCTTTGCCAATTGCTGTGAATATATACTGTATGTCATAATCATTTAAAATCATATTTTGCAACAAAGCTTACTAACACTTTGCATTAACACACTGAAAACACTCTGCGCAGCTATTGTGTTTATATCTAGAGCAGCTATGTGTCCATATAGTTTTATAAGAAGGCATATTTTTGACAAATAAAAGTGTTAATTGCTGTTAATTACACTCAAATAAAAAAAAAAACTGTCACTGGGACAGTACCCCTTCATAAGGTACTAATATGTACCTTTAAGGTACTAATATGTAGCATTTAGGGGTATATAAGGTACAAATGACCAGCTTATTCCAGCAGTTACAGGTACATTAGTCGTGCTGATATCACTTGTACTTGTTAAAAAAAAAAAAAAAAACTTTTCAACCACTAAATTTAGCATTAGTGCCTTAAAACTGTTCTCTTAAAACTTAATGAGTAATTTATCAAGAATTATTTTGGCCAATTAAAGTTCAGTTGTCATGACCTGGAAACATTTGATGAAACTGGAAAATCTGAATATTACAGTATTCTAAAATACTGTATATTTTGTGTCAGAACTGGACTGGAATGACTGAATTGTGTTTTTGAATGATTGTTACCTAAAGAGAGGAGCTGGGTTTGCTACTGTGTAGTATGCTATAATCAGGGCCGTCCTTAGCTGACGCGGGGCCCGTTGTGGGGGGGGGGGCTTTCCCCTTGGTCCGTTCGCCCCGGGGCCCGGCCGCACCAGTTGCACCCCCCTAAGGACGGCCCTGGCTATAATTTTATGATTTTGAAAAATGCTTCAGGATATTTCACGGGTTTTCTGGTTACTGAGAGTAGAGTTTGACATCATGTTGGCTCAGATGAAGCTCTTGCATTTGTTGTCCAGATGTTTAAAGCCCTGCAGATGTTAAAGAGATGAGGATGTTCACTCAGGGATTGATAATATGAAAGCTGGTAATGTCTAACTGGAATTTGCAGTATCTTTAGGGGAATTTTAAAATGTACTCCAATATTATAAAGTGCATATAATCATGAAATAAAGTGCATGATCATTTGTAACCGTTCAAATATTTTTGTCTAAAGGGACTGATGTAAATGTTTTTGTTTTACTTTTTTTTGTGTGTTTGCTCTTTATTGTTATTTTCTTTTTTTTAAAGCAGATATCTATAAAGCAACAATATATTGTAAGATTTTTATTATCTTTGTAAATACATTTTATACCACAATAATAATGATTTTTATAAAACTCTGTTTTGTGGTTTCTTTATTATACAATGTGCAAAACACTACACATTAGATTCGCATTTTACAGGCCTGACTGCTGAACTTTACGCATTAGAGATTAAGGTGGGATCCTGTATCAGAAAAAAGACTGTAAACTGTAAACAGACTTCTGGAACATTGTGTGGACAAAAATATAATGCGCTGTGTTCAATGTTACAACAAATGTTCAGTACTTCAAGTTCATGGGAGTGTTTAACAGACTTTTACCTCTACATGAACTTAAAACAGACATCAGTGCGATGAACGACATGTTCTACAGACCCACCCTCACACACAAAAACACTGAGAAAGAAACTTTAAACAAACCCACATGAAAAAAAACTGAAATTAAATTAACAGAAATTAAAAATTCTGGCTTAAATAAATAGTAGATTTCAGTCCTATGAAAAAAAAGAACAAATAATGTTATAAAAGTAAGCTATAAAATAAAAATGTCTAATTTATTAATCTGCAGAAAATGCTAAATTCATCACATATCTGCAATAATGAAATAATATGAAAACAACCCATGCACTTTGTCTTCCATATGTGATGTATAGGTTGGGTAACACTTTAGATTAGGTAACACTATTTACTATTAACTCTAAGTTAATAGTGAATATGTGTTCCCTAATCTAAAGTGTTACCATAAATTGTAATAAAATAACTACATTTTTGTAGATTCTAAATTATTAATTTGCAGAAAACGTTAAATGCACCACAAATCTGCAATAATTAAATCATATAAAAACATTAGACATGTTAAATGGACTTAGTCTTCCAATATGTAATAAAGTTATGTTATATGATTTTACAGTGGTAACAATGATTGTACTAACAATGAAATTTGGGAATAAATCATGGTAAATCTTAATAAGGGCAAACTCCCTCCAGAAACCACTTTATCGTTTTAAAACTTTTTAAAAGATATTTAACCCTAATGAGTAACTCCCTATATTTCCAAAGAGTAAAAGTTTATTTAGTCGCTCCTTCCGTTTCTAAGTAGTTGACCCTTGTGTTTATTAAGTGACCTCTGTTTCTACTGACACCTGCCGGTCATTATAAGAAGTGTTCGGTAAAGTGATTCTAACAATTCTAAAAATCCTTTGTTCTAAAAATCTGTATATTTTTCCAAACCATATTTTTATAGTATCAAATTTACCTTTTTTATTTATTTTATTTATTAGACATACTTTTATTATGTACAAGCGGTGGTCGGTATGAATCAATCGACTGCGCTCTTCTTATCTTGCAGCCAATGAAAAACAGCGTTGTTTGCGGTTGAGGTCGCGTCTAGTGCGCATGCGCCGTGTACAGCATGGGACATGGAAGGGCAGAGCTTTAATCATAACGGAAACATGATAGCAACTCGCATATAATGTGTTTTAACTTTTAAATTGGTACGGCATTCACAGTAATTATTAGAGACAGTAGAATTAAGCGTCTAAAATGTTTCGTCATTGCAAGGTATTCATTACGAAACTCAAAAATTTGAGGTGAGTAGTAATACTACACTGAATGAAACTTCAGTCTTTCCCTGTCAAATATATGCGTGGTCCTTTTTAGACTGTTGTTTGTATTTTAATTGTGATTACTGTATCATTCAGGTCGTTGTTATTATTATCATCACGTTTAAAGATATAAGTTTGAGTTGTTCTGAAATGTACGATGTACTGTAATCCTCTGGGAAAAGCTCAGTCATGCTGATTAGTGTGATCTGTAAGTCTGATGAATGAGGGGTTTGTAGTTTCCAGGGTTCATGGAGGTCGAGAGGCAGCTCTGCTGGAGAGAGAGCACTGCAGTACACCGTGGGACAGAAGATCCACGGGTTCACTGTTAAAGAGGTAAAGAAATCCTGAAAATACACATTTTGCTTGTATTGTCTCTATTTCGTCTTACAGTGAAGCAGGGGTTCACCTTCCAGTCTGAGAGTTTCTATAAAACCAAGATAAATTCATTGTATTGTAATGCACAACCTCTAGTGGTTTGATTTAGTTAATCCTGTAAAGCCTTGCAAATGAAATAATAATCAGAAAATGATTTTTTTTTTCATGGAAAAGTTTGTTGAACCTTTAAACAAAATGTAAAAGAAAATCAAAAAGTTTGTGTATGTGTTTTTTGTTGAGTATCATATTTGATACATCAGGCTTTTATGGCTCATTCTCGACAAGAACAGAAACACCACAATTTTATTCAGAGGCCCAAACAAAAAAGTGGTGCAGTTGCTTTTATTTCTTTGACCAGAAAGTAAAGGTGAAATTCTTATACCTTGTAAACAAATGAAATCTTTATAACGCTTCAGAAGACTACTTGCATAAAACGTATATCACTGTATATCTCCCAATAATATGTCTTATTAAGATGATATTTATATGCTTAGTTTTAGTAGTTTTAAAACACAATGCAAAGCAGTGCAATGATGACTGAGAGATGAACAAATAGGCTAAACGTTCCTCAAAAGCCTGATGGATCATACTTGATACACACGTTTTAACAGGATTTCTCTGAAACTTATGTGTGGATAATCAAGTAAACCTAAGTTGCTTCAGTCCAGTAAATATTCATTTTGAAATATTAATAACAGTATAAAAGTTATTCTTTCGTTCTAAAAATCACTAAAGATTTCACAGGAGACAAAAGACATGTGAACCACAACCTGAAGGTGAACGTTTTTAGAATTAAACTAAAAGGCTTTTTATTTGCCAAAAAAAGTATGAACTATCAATCAGACGACAGAAGGCATGTAGTAGAGTTTGTGCAACAGTTTTGATCATGTTGCTCATTTAGAGGCCTTAGAAATTAACATCAGATATGATACGGCAGGCTTTATAGGATTAATTGTGTTCTAAGCTATTATACAATGCAACTGTCAATGTGTATGTATGTCTGTCAATGTGACCAGTGCTAACACTGAGTGTGATTATCTAGGTAACAGCAGTGCCGGATTTGTTCCTAACGTCCGTTAAACTCTCCCATGATGCCACAGGAGCTCAGTATCTGCATGCAGCTCGAGACGATTCCAACAACCTCTTCAGGTACAGTGTGTGTGTGTGTGTCTGATGAACATTCACATGCTTAGGATTTTATTTGGACCCTGTTATATGCCCCAATGATGTACGCATTGCTTTGTGTGTGTGTTTTGCATGTGTTATTATAGTGTGCAGTTTCGTACCACGCCGATGGACAGCACCGGTGTTCCTCACATTCTG